TCCTCCACAACTCCACTCTACTGCCAGCTAGCTAATGTCTTTTTTTTTTTTTTTTTTTTTAAGATTTTTATTGTGGATTGATTGAAAGATCACAGGACATATCATTAGTTTTACATTCAACAAATCATATACCTTGTTTCATTACATTGATTATAATCCCCTCCATGCACCATCAGTTAACAGTGTTTCTCTCTATCTACTTTAGCTTTTTAAAAAACAAACAAACAAACAAACAAAAACCCACCCAGGCATATATACTAATTTACATATCCAAAGGGCACTTTCTACAAGTCTGCCTCCTGGCCACCAGCTCTTAGTCCTTCTCTTCTTGGTCCATGAATCTAGAGTCCTCAGCCACTCACCCTCTCCATGCACCCATCTCTGCCTCCATCTCTGGCGCTGCTGCGTCTCTGGATAAGGTCCCACACTCTGCTTGTGCGTTCCTCTCTTGATGGTCCTAGGGTCCTCTGTTTCTGAACTATAAGATTAACCACTCCCCTTTTTTTGTTACAAAACTTCTACCTTTACAATTGTGACAGTCGCGATTAGTCATGATAACAGTTATTCACTATTGAATCTTACAAATCTTATCCCCATCTCTTTTCACCAGACCCATCTAGACAAGATGACAGCTATTCAGTGGGGACTCTTTCTTTCCCCCCACACTCTTAAGCTAAACTCCCTCTTGAAACCTTGTAAGCCAGTCACTTCGTGCTTTTATTGCCCCCTCATTTTAGGTAGCCAATGTCTAAAGTTGCCTTTCTCTATCTACTCTGTGTACAGAGCGGATAGCATTGATACTTGATTTGAAGACTCTTTCCCTCTCTGTAGCTAACATCTTTACCTAATCTCCTCAAAGTCCAGTAAAAAGATGTTGCAATGCTTTCCAAGAAGCTTTTCCAGTATCTCCATTCTCCCTGAAACATTAATCCCTGCTTTTTGTCTTCCCAGAGCACCTATGGACTCCTAGTGTGGTGCTGTGGGTTAATGCACCAGACTGCAAAGCGATTTGAACTGCAAGATTGGTGGTTCAAGCTCACCAGCTGCTCCTCGGAAACCCTATATACAGGGTGGCTGTGGGTTGGAACCGACTCAATGGCACTTAACAACAGCACCTATATAGCAAACAGCACATTCTGTTTCTGCAGCTGCTGCTGCTGGGGCTGTATGTCATTGAGTCAGTTCTAACTCACAGCAACCATGGTATAGGGTTTCCAAGGCTGTAAATCTTCACAGTAGCAGAAAGCATCATCTTTCTCACTTGGAGTGGTTAGCTGATTCAAACTGCTGACTTTGCGGTTAGCAGCCCAATGCTAACCCACTATGCTACCAGGACTCCTTACTTTCTGCTTTGTTTATTCCTACATTCTGTTGTATATATTTTCCAGTTTACCTCCTTGATTATATTCACTAAAGGCAGGTTCTATGTTTTGTTACTCCATTACTCACAGAGCTTACCCAGCACTGTATGGCATTAACTTCAAATTTCTACATCATCAATATGAATAATTAGTAATATTAATTTTTAATAAAGCATTATGGAATCAGAAAGGAGTAACTCTGTTTCCATAATGCTTTCAGATAATCTAACATAAACTTTGCATAAAGAATGTACTACTGAAAACAAATATAGTATATTTGGTGATTTCAACTGAACAAACCATTCAAAAGATCAAAAAAATATCTTAACTGTGGTGGTGACTACATGACCATACATGTTTATTAAAATCCAAAGAATTGTATACTTAAAAAGAATGTAAATTGTACTATGCAAATTATATTTCAATATACCTGACTTAAAAA